TATATGTTCATATATTGTACGTTTCCTGACGTCTCCAAATCACACAGACATCTTTTGAGGCCAAGTTAGGCTCTTGTCGTTACATATTACATTATCTGTACCGTATTCGTGTATAATGAAAGTAGCAACTTTTTTCGCCTAGTCACATTTTCGTTTTTGTTTTACTTCGTCACCATATCTAGTTGTTCTTTTCCATTTGTCTTTTTACATAATAATTGTAAAAACCTTGTTAACCCGACCTATATGTAAATACATGGTGTAACAATCCCGCTTGTAGTACAGTGCAGACAGTGTAGGTTGAAAGTAGCTTATATTTTAGCATATAAATTTGTATGAACTATATATCTTGAAGTTTGTAGCTCTTATTATTGTCTTGAATTTTTACGTTCATGAATTTCATCAAATGTATATATGATCATGTTGTTGTTAGTAATCTTTTGATAAACAGTCACCTTATTTAGTTATTTTTCCAGCAGACTTGTTTAAGTATTCCTTATAATCTATATATTACGTGTACCATCCATTATTTTTCATTACAATTAGATCATTCTTATTTAAAGCTTCTTAGTAGTCTTAGGTAATCATAGAAATATTCATATAGGTTCTTATCTTCTCACAGTAGGTTTATTTAAATTGAACAATTTTTCACGATTCTAATGATATCAATTATGTTAATTATATTGCACACAACAAAATCAATAAACATTCTACAAAATTAGAATTTATTACAGATTATAAACATAATTTCTTTTGCAATTTTGAGGGCGATTTATTACACTCGTTTTTCCTAGAAAGCCGGATTACCGCATAGCATAATAATAACACCACTGATTTCCTTTATGTTTCACCTCATACCCTAACACATTGATTAAGTATATACTTCGCCATTATACTTAGATGCAACTATAAGGTTCCAGATGTTCGAAACGCTAATTTTCAAAGTTAGTCCACCATGTACCCGTGTACCTGGGAGTGAATGAAGCAACGGCCGCTCAGTCGAGACTCCCGTTTTCATTCCACATCCCCCCCCCCCCAGGTAGACAGCTGCGCCCCCCGCTTCGGAACCTCGGATTCGCGAATCCTCATGTTCAACGAACAATACGCACACTAGTTCCGAACGCACTTTTTTAAATATCACTTGGGTACGCACAGGTCATGAATTTGGAGAGATTGTAATAATAGATAGACAAACAGACAGACTGACTGATATACAGATACAGAAATAAATATAAAAAACATAAATATACACAGTTTCATGTGTCCTTTACAATTTCTCATCATTGTTGGATTGGATTAACTTATACACACCTGACGCTAGACAAGATCATCAGATACATCTCAATTAGTTGGTAAAAAAAAAATCATGTCTATGGCAATATCAGGTATGGGATCTATTTTTTCCTGGAGATTTTGCACTAACGGGAACACGTGTCTGGTGTAATGTAGATGTAGCATGTCTCAAGTATATTTCACAGCCTTCTCCTCTTTAAAATGTTGAAGGAGTTGAGTTGAAAAGACTAACCCAATGCTCTGGCCTTGGTGTAAATAGAGGGGTTGCTCTAGCATGATTTTCGTGATGGTAATTCCCTGTTTATTCATTTAGTCAGTTTTAGAACTAACAGAAAATAAAAGAATTAAAGTATTGAATTATAATCCAAGTAAATTAATAGAGGGAAAGCTTGAAATCTGAAAGACTGGATTTTTGGATGACAAATGTAATTAAACTTTGTTCATTAGGATAGCTGTATAAAAGAAAATAAATATCTTGAATAATAAAATTTTACTTTGATTTTCCACACGGTACAACGATATTCTAATAACTAACGAACTTTATGAATTTTGACACTATATAGCTTTATTTTCCAGGTGTTGTATATTAGTGCAAGGAAATTGAAGAATATAGTACTCGTACCAGTTTCAATTTGGTCGGAGTACTATGTTCTTAAAAAAAAAAGAAAAAAAAAAAATCGGAAGAAGCAGGCATGATGACTTCACTTCGTTATCAGATACAGGTTCACATAATCACAGCTTCAAAGCCTGAACCCCCGAATCAACTCCTGGATCTTACGGTTTTGTACCAAATCACATACCTTCAGGTCTTTGTATCACTCTTAGGCCATCTAAAATCAATCTTTAGTTTTTCATCACCGTCCGTCCCGATTTTTAGGCCCGCCCAATTTTTTTTTTATATTTTATATTTTTTCAAAACGTCTTTTTTTTTTACCTTTTTGCTGCACCAGAGATCGCGTAGATGGTGCAATGCCAAGGAGATTACTAGAATTTGTAATCCAAACTATACTGCTGCAAGTCAAAGAAATTCTAAGTTACTGAAATCTCTAGTTTATATTTTTATCATACTGCTGAATTGATTTGATATTGATTTTGAAGCCACAGTCCTCTTGTGGAATGAGATACTATATATTTTTTAGTTTGTTGTTTCAATTTCTATGTTTTTTATTGTTCAGAATAAATACAAGTACTTCGAATTACACAACATATTGGACTTCAGCCTTCCTCATTTTACATAGATGGGAAAATTTTTAAATATAAAATATAAAATGCCCTCCCCGCCAATTTTTTCAGCATCTAGTGATGAAAAAAAAAGATTAATTTTAAATGGCCTTAAGTACAAATGTCCATTTCGGGTGAACGTTAGTGAGATGGAACAACTAGTGTATTCCATATTTAAAAGAGCGAGTGATAAGATATATTTATAGATTATTACATACACTATCACATTACATACACTTGCATGTTCCAATTGTCATAAAAGCACTGAGTAAGAAAGTAAAAATTTATACTTTTTTCCAAAGCACTCTTTTTCTCATTACGTTCGAAACGTTAAGATTTAATATTTCTTTTTGTGGCTGTATTCCTTTTCACTGTTTTGTACACGTTACTGTGTCCATATATATATATATATATATATATATATATATGTATATATATATATATATATATATATATATATATATATATATATATGTATATATATATTTTTTTTTCAGCAGCCATTCATTCCACTGCAGGACATAGGCCTCTCTCAATTCTGTATTGAAAGGTTATATGGCAGTGTCACCCTTGCCTGATTGGATGCCCTTCCTAATCATCCGCTGTTCGGCGTGTTAACACTTGTGCCACGGCGGTGACTTCCCTTACGACACCTGCGTCTGACTTCTCAAGTTGATATGTCGTTTTCTCGGGCTCGAGTCAGCAGTCAGAGCGCAGGCATTTTTACGACCGCCTCGACGGAGAATTGAACCGGGGACCACGAGAGTCGGAGTCCAGTGCTCTAACCACTGAGCTATCGCGGCAGTGTCTGTATATATATATATATATATATACATATATTTATATATATATAATTTATATATGTATGTATATAGTATATATATATATATATATATATATATATATATATATATATATATATATATATATATAATGTATATATATGTATGTATATATATAGTATATATATATATATATATATATATATATATATATATATATATATATATATATATATATATATGTATATAGTATATATATATATATATATATATATATATATATATATATATATATATATATATATGTATATATATATGTATATTTATGTATGTATATATAGTATATATATATATATATATATATATATATATATATATATATATATATATGTATATCTATATATAATGTATGTAAATATATATATAATGTATATACATATATATATATATATATATATATATGTATATATATATAATGTACATATGTGTGTGTGTGTGTGTGTGTGTGTGTGTATGTGTGTGTGTGTGTGTGTGATTTACATTTATCGCAAAATGCTTGATACTCCGTCACACACGGTTATCCTAAAGATCATTAGTTCAGCCTTTCAGTTCACACCTGGGTCTACACTGTGCGAGTCCCCATTAGTGATGAGGCCCAAAGTGGAGAGCCACGCTTTCTCTAAGTGTCTGCAAGCTTCAGGGCTACGCTAGTGTTGCTTCTGCTCCTGCTGGGTCGACACTGGGAGACCTACTGAGGTTTACCGGCGCCGAAAAGGTATTTCTTATGATGCCTAGGCTCGCTCTTGTATAGGAATATCGTAAGCATGCACACACACACACACATACATACACACGCATACACAGACACACACACATACATACATACATACATTCACACACACACACACACACACACACACACACACACACACACACACACACACACACACACACACACACACACACACACACACACACACACACACACACACACACACACACCCACGCACCCATGTTCATCCTGCATTTTCGTCCCGTGACAATAGTGAAAAATGTTATCTAGACTCTCTTGTGTATTCAGAAATTTTCAGACTACTCGCTAATTAACATGCTGAACGCTTGTCCTTTGTAGGGATTTTTTTCTTGGGAATTTTTAAACCGACGTAATCATGGAGGGTACAATTTTTACAATTAATGAAAGCAAAATAGGAAATTGTTATACTTTATAAGGATTTTTTTCTCCGAAACTTTGAGACTGAGAAAAGGAATCGAGTTACTAATTAGTCCTTTTTTGTGTCTATAGGGAACAAGTCGTCAAAGGTAAAATAGAAATAAGACACTGTAACTACTAGTCCAGCTTTATCTGTTTGTCATTCTGATGCATCTTGGTTATGATCACATTGAAGTACCAACAATGTTCATACTAGGGACAGTTTCAGGGTTAGAGGATGTCGGTGATCTTATCTGTTAAATCCAATGTTCGTTATAATAGTGGCCTTGATAGGAGGATTAACAATTTTACTTTGTATATATATATATTTTTTTTATATAATTCTTTCGTCTGTTTGTTTTATTGGATTAGAGGCTATTCTGTTTTATGAAGCCTACATTTTCTTTCTTAGAAAACGAAACATCCATAGCAAATTTTCGTATATTTCGTATATTTCGTATTCACTAAATGGGATATGTAAAATGGTTATCCAAATT